TGTCAACTATATGCACATTTGAGAGATCTGGGGAATGTTTCTCCTTTTGTTTATATCATACAATGAAAATTTCTATTTGTAGTTAGAGGACAGTGCTATTAGGAAATTCAGTGAGAAATTTAATTTTCAATTACATTTAGTTTAAATGAACTGTGCTTCAGTTTACTAATTTAGTTTTACAGTTTCTGCATTTCTTTATGAATTTTTCATCTGATACTTAGAAAAACACTTTGAAATAAAAGGCTTATTATTATTAATATCACAAGACAGTGAAAATAATGATGTTTAAAATCTTAAAATAGATGTCCAAAATTATGTTTCTAGTAATTGTCAGGAACCCAACTTTCTGATCCCCAATATCTAGGGCATTTCATTAACCACACTTCATGTTCTTCTATTTCCTTTTCAATTGTAAGGATTTAAATGACCTTTACTCATATATGATTACCCTTATATATTAATTTTGGACTCCAGTGTTGTGTAAATTCTAAGCCGACAATACATGAATGGAAACTAGAATTTTCTCAAATCCTAGATTTTTTTCATTTAATAAATAACGTATAACTCAATGTACCAATTTCGGTGCTCAATTATGAAGATACAGAGAAAATAAATCAGATTTGTTGGAGAGTTCAAGATGCCTAGAATTTGTTGTCTAGGCATATTGAGCTGTTCAGTATATCTCAAATCTAAACGCACAAAGAATACCCGAGCAATCCGGACAAATGCGCATTCTGACTCCGCAGCTCCGGTCCCAGTTCCGAGACTCTAGTTCTAACAAGCTCCCAGGTGATGTCAGTACTGGTAGGTTAGAACTGTGATTTGAGTAGCAAAGATTTACTTATATAAGCATGGATATATTTAAATGGGTATTTTTACCTGCCACTCATTGCTGTTCTTCTATTTTTAGGAAAAAATATAAACCAGGAGAAAATTAAAAGGGAACTGGTCAAGCACCGAAGATCAAAGACTAAAAGGGGGCCATGAGAAGACAGTGGTTTAGGCTGAAGGGGAGATGGGGACAGCAGAGAGTGAAGAAACAGCAGGTGCCGTAAAAGAATAAATAAACAAAATCAAACTTAAAATTGCAACTAGCTTTAACAGAAAAAAGTGCTTTTGTATCTTTTAGTTACCCATTTTGGAATCATTTAAGTCTTGCTCACTGTTTCTAATATCTGTGTAAGTGAGGAGTGGCATTTGATGGTTACAAAATATCAGTTGCCAATTGCAGCTTAATTTACCCTTCCCCAAGAGGCCTCCATATAACATCAAAAGCAGTACAGTGTGGGACCAGGATTACTTATCAGCTGGACACTGTTTTTCTTCTATGGAAAACCAGTACTGATGGGCTGCCTGACATTTTATACAATCCCCAGGTAGACCAGAGAATGGAGAAAAACCACCATCACTATTGCACACCAAGGTGGCAGGGGAGAAGAATATGGAAAATGGAATGAAGATCTGTTCTCCAGCATCTCCCAGCACCCCCCAGCATCAATATAAGGAAATATTTCAATTTTTAAAAATCTCATTAGAAAATCACTATTGTTAATTTTATAAAATTCTTGAATATAGAAAGCACAAAAATTAGAATGGATAGTTTTATACATATACGCAGATGTAAATTATCTAAAAAACCTGAAAAGTAACTGTAGGAAAACTTAAAAACATATTAAACATTGTTTTTCAAAAGTCCCCCAAATTTTCATGACTAAATAATTGCAACTTTTATGTAAGGTGTATACTGTTCCAATAATTTTACAACTACACATAGTAAAATAACGAGAAAGTATCCAAAAGGTACTTTAAAACTGAGTGCACAGAGGTAGCTTTCTACACCTGCCCTTTGTTCTTTTTCTGCCTAGAGTGATATATAAATATGTTGTCTTCTGAACTCTAAGTTCTTGAAATTGTTCAGCATTTTTCAGATAAATCAATACACATAGGGTGAATTTAGGGCAGAGATTTTTGTAGAAGCAATCCTATCACTCTGTGGTCTCAGTGAGTAGGTACATTGTAACAACCTAGGTAGAGAGAACTAGTTTATACAATAAGCTCAGTTTCTACAATGGAAAACTAAAGTAAACAAAGTGAAGTAGAACGTGTCACTTTGGCCACTATCACTCACAATGAGCTCTGCTTGCAGTCTTGGACCCTATCTTGGGTAACGGTTTTCCTGCAGCATGGAGATCTCTCTCTCTCTCTAATATCTTCTTAAAATGTGTAGTGTGTGACGCTAAAGATTAGCTATCTATTTAGAGTTATCGTGGAATATTTCACAGACATAAGGTAAACTTCTGAGTTTAAACAGTCTTATTCAGTATTGGAAGCATACTAATTTTGCTTTTAAAATATTTTGCAAGTCATTCTGCATTGAAATAATAGAACTGTCCCATAGAAAATATTTCACATTTACTATGTGTTTTCAAAAACTTCTTGTTTCCAAGATTTTTCCTGACCCCACATATCGCCAGGCCTCATTCAGGAAGGAATGCACGAATAATCACTTCTATAATTGTACTCCACTCATGACTGGCCTACTGTTGGCACCCACTGAAGTCTGTTGTATGAATAAACTACTGTAACACGTTATTAGTGCCTTTGAGATAATAATTTAATGTTTACCTTTTAACAGATTATTTTCATTTTAAGTGACTGTAAGAATAATGCCAAAGAAATGTGTTTCCATAAGTTGAATTATAGTTAATGTGGCACCTGTATAGGGGAAGAATTATAGGGAATTCTTTGTGGAGGCCCTTTAATTTACTGGTCCTATAAGTACTGGTATAAAGAAGTGTTTATTATTTTAAAAATCACATTTTTTATCCCTTTGTCTACACACATCATTACAATTGATGTTAAAAATGTAACTTCAGTCAACTGAATATTTGGAATGTTTTTTATTAGTTAATAAAACAAAGCTATTTTTAGGCCTAAAATTTCACTTGTCTTTACTTAAAAACACCATAGACATAGATGGTATTTGAAGAAAAGAAGAGCTTATCCTAAGGAGGAAAATGAGAAGATTGGAAATAAGACTGTGCATCCCACAGAACAGTCTTTTTGAATAAACCCTGGCCTACGCCTGCTCTGTGGATGCAGAAGCACACGAAGGAAAGTCACACTTTCCTCCCATTTCGGGGCAGTACAATCTAAGAATCAAAATGCCTGTCAGTGTAGAAATAGATCCAATGAATAATCTTTAAATAATATTTTCCTTTTTGTCATTTACAGCATGAATGAAACTTGAGGCTATCATGCTAAAGAAAAAAAAAGTCCAAGGACTACAAATACTATACAATACAATTTATACATTGAATTTTAAAAAGCCAAACTTAGAGAAATGAGGGTAGAATGATGGTTAACAGGGATGGTTAACAGGTGGGTGGGACAAATGAGATAGATATTGTAAATATTGGTAAGGTCATAGATATCAAGTTAAAAGGTGAATAAGTTCTGCAACTAATGCATAGCATTGTGACTTTAGTTAACTAAACTGCATTATATGCTTTAAAGTTGCTACGAGAGACTTTAAATGTTCTCATCACCAAAAAAAAAAAAAAAATAGATAGATATGGGACCTGCAGGAGGTGTTTAAATTGAAATATATGCATGTATAAAATGAACACATTGTACACCTTAAACTTGTACAATGTTACAGGTAAATTATATCTCAATAAAGCTAGAAAAATAAAATAGAAATTTTCTTTTATGCCCCTATTTCCTTTTCTTCTAAAGGATGTGGAACAAGGTATATAACTGATACGTGAATGCTAGAGTAAATTACACCAAAATAAACACTACAAGAGCTTTATCGTCTCTTATTAATCTTTCCTATCAGAGAGGGTTACAGGTCCAGAGAAGGAAGATATTTTCAATTTGAGGGAGTGATTGACCACCCATGACTCTTTGCCTTGGCCCGCCTTCTTTTCCTGCTGCAGGGACAAGGCATTCACTACCTGGGGACCCATGTGCTAGGTGTCCTGAGGGATGCACATATAAAAATAGCAACCAAGTGGACCTGACACTAATATTTCAATTTAATTTTAAACACTTTATTAAGAAAGAAAATTATTTCTCTCATTTTTCTTTTGTTTAGGTATTTATGTGTATGAGTCCTGGGTTTTACAAAACAGTTCACTATTTAGTCAGTCATTAGGGAACCCAAACCAGGCTTTGATTTTCATTTATTCATTTAACTTTAAGCAGCACGTAATGTTATTGATCAGGGCTCCTACTCAGTGTAATACCTCACTGAAACCAGTACTTAATTGATGATACCAACAGCCACTGAGGGAGTATCCCATTCAGGAGAGAAAATGCATGACACCATGTGTGTGTGTGTGTGTAGCTATGTGGAACTACCATTACACACCAAATGTACAACACGGGCACTTTTCATAGGCTAATTGGAAAATACTTGTGTGGGATATTAAAAATAATGTTTTCCAAGACTCCTCTTTATGGGACAATAATGCCATTTACATGCCCCTTGCCCTTGTCCCCCAATAGAAAAACTATTTGGAGCAAGAAATTCCTTTTGCATTTAATAATACCTTTTGCATTTAATTTTCCTGGAAAATTAAAAACCCAATCCTGAGCTACATTTCCTAATACATATTTTCATCATTAATTCTAAATTTTATTTTTGGAAACTAGTAATAATGGGCAGACAGGAAAAAAATAATTGTTATGATAATTTTCATGCCTTGATAAAGTTGTTTGCCCTCATTTTTTGTACTTCTCGCTAAGGTCATACCACAGTTATATATCATGGTATTGGCCACCACTGTGTTCTTGTTAAGTAAGTTTTGATTTTATATTTTAGGGAAATGTAAATTTGGACACTACACATCAAAAGATACCATAGCTAAATATTTGCTTGAGCTTTCAATAATCCTTAATATTAATGTTAAGTTAAAACATTTCTGCCAGTTTTGTAGTTCTAAATTAAAAGTCTCTGAAGAAATTACTATCTTTAGGAAAAGAAGAAAGCTCACCTTATTACAAAATTATGACTGTCAATCTCCTTTCCACATTCACTGTCTAGCAGAATGCCAGAATTTCCAACAACTGCACAGGTCTTAAATCTGCGATTTTTCATTGGTGAAACTTCAGGTAGGAGGCTATGTAGGTCTTGAGAAATATTTAGTGTCCGGCGCCTGTCAAGCACGTAGTGGATGACATCACCAGGCTTGAAACTGCTCTTGACCACTGAAACATCTCGTTCTGCATCTAGGAAACGAAGAATGTTCTTCCTATATTTGAAATACAAAGTGTTCCATTAACGACAACTTATCAAAGAACTGGTGACATCATTTACAAAGTACCACATGATGACGTGTAAACTGGTAAATTACTAATCTTAAATTGTGAGTTGGTAATTAAAGCAATCAGTTAAATAGATTCTATAGGAAATAGAATATATATTTAAAAATAATTTGCATATAGTTTTTCAATGATTTTCTAAATAAATACAGGTTATACACCCATTTGTATTCACCCATTTGCAGAGAGAAAAAAGACCCTTTGTCCATCAGAATATGCAGAAAAACTAGTTCAGTAAAGAAAATGCAATTGTCATGACTTGGCTTTGAATAATTAGATATCTTGTTGGCTTTAATTAATTTTCTATAGTCATCTGTTTTGTTTAATATTATCTAATTAAGTTGAATAGAAATAACTTGATATTGTTTGGAATAACACTTTAATAAACTCTATTAAAATAATAGAGCTTTTCAATTAACTTATCCACATTTACCCAAATTATGTGTACACTATAATTACTTGAAGACGAATAAAAACTATAATACCATCCGTATTAAAAATCTTGCTTCCAAGCTCAAGCATCCAGGAAGTAAGACATCTACATTAGAGGAAAAGATATATAGAACACTGGACTCATGGCAGAGATAGCTAATTGCTCCTTAGTGTTCTTTCTTCCCTTCTTCCTTTTAGTATTGAGTCTCCTAAGTTTTAATTGATCACATCGATGCTCACCTGGAACATTTCCAAGTTTTCAAACCCAAGTGCATCTAGGTTTGGTCCTGTGAGTCTGTTTTCTTAAACAGTGTATGAGTGCATCATAACCATGACTATGTGAGAGAAAAATAAACTTTCAACTTGTTTGAACCACTGCATTTTAAGGTCTCTTTTTTTAATGGGAGCTTAGCCTACCCCATGACTAATAAAAAAATTGATAAAAGATGTAAGATGCTACATAAAAACACATGCATATGCTAAGTTTGATATTGACAAATGAAAAAAAATAGATGTACTGGGCTAGAAAGCTGGTCACTTTTGGCATGACAAAGCAAAGCTCCTGATAACACTGTTGTCTGTAATAATTTGGGAGTCACAGTATATATCTAACAAGCCTGTTATTGTTTTAAAAGTGTTTATATATTGTTTGTTCCATTCGGCAAGACCCTAGAAGATTGGTGAAGTTAAGCATAAAATAGCCAAATTGAAAGCTGAAATGAAAGGGAAAATGTCTAATAATAACCTATAATCTAAACTGTGTGAGAGTCAAGTGATTGGGACCTCCCAAATGTTTCTGATGCCCCAGTGAGCAAGAGATACAACTGTAAATCACAGCCATCCCAACAGCAACATGGATATCATCTTCCCATCTACGTGTATTTATTCTAATGACTTAAGAATAGCCGCCATTGAGTGGAGGGAGCCAGAAGACTGAAGAAGCTGTGTCCAGAAGTTTTGGGGTGAGGTATCAGACCAGGAACTAATTACAAAGAAGTAGCCCAAGAGCCTAATAAATTTTTGACAATTGTATTGCCAAAGAAATTATAAACCTGCTTTACAAAGTCTGAGATTGCTTGATCCTTAAATCTACCAAACATATACCAGCTACAAGCAATCTGAGAAAGCTCTTTTCTAGTAGTTTGAAAGTTCGGTATTGGTTACTAGTGTGCACTTATTGAAGCTTGTATTTTCAGAGTTAAAAACAATGTCAGTATTATAATAAGACATGACAGGCATATTTTTCCTGTAGTGTTATTATTGTTTAAGCTCCACCACAACTCATGCACTTTCTTACGGAGCACAAAGTATGGCCTCCTTTTATCACTTCACCAAAAAAGGCAATTTCCCACATCACCTTATAAGCCTGAATCATGACTAGCAAAGAGACATGGAAAATAACCCACTCATAGCTTTCCCTTGATTTCTTTATTTAAACTTGCTTTAAATAGGTCCCAGTTTAATGTGTGGTATAATTAGAAAACCAGGTCATTAAAATACTTTATTTTGCCAGATTTTATATGGAATATGTTCATCATCTCTGAAAAATAAAGTTTTTGAAAACTCTTCTTCAAGTTTTCTGAGTATGGTCTGTTACCTTTTTTTATATTGGAAAATGAAATGCAAGAAGATACAAGTAGAAGCATATACTGTGTTTGTGGATTGGGAGAATTGACATCATTACAGTGTCCATACAACCCAAAGCATTTATAGACTCAACACAGTTCCTATTAAAATATCAATGATGCATTTCATAGATGTAGAACAAATACTCCAAAAATTCACATGATTCAAAAAAGACTCCGAATAGCCTCAACTTTATTAAGAAAAATAACAAAGTTGGAGGTATCACAGTATTTGATATCAAACTATATTACAAGGCCATTGTAATCAAAAAAGTCTGGCATAAGAACAGGCATTTGGATCAATGGAACACAACAGAGAGTTCAGAAATAAATCCACATCTTTATGGTTGATTAATATTTGACAAGGGAGGCAAGAACATACAATGAAGTAAAAATAGTCTCTTAAATAAATGGTGCTGGGAAAATTGGACAAGAACATGTGGAAAAATGAAACTAGACCATTAACTTATACCACGCATAAAGATAAATTCTAAATGGACAAAAGACTTAAATGTAAGCCACAAAACCTAAAAATCCTAGAAGAAAATATAGGCAGTAAAATCTCACATATCTCTCATAGCAATTTCTTTGCTGATACATCTCCTAGGGCAAGGGAAATAAAAAAAAAAAAACAAAAACAAATGGAACTGCATTGAACTAAAAAGCTTTTACAAAGCTAAAGAAACCATCAACAAAGTGAAAAGAGAGCCCACTGCATGGGAGAACACATTTGCCAATAATACATCTGACAATAGTTTGATTACCAAAATGTAGAAATAATTTACACAATTTAACAACAGGAAGACAATTCAATTAAAATGGGCAAGGGACCCAATAAATACTTCTCCAGAGGATATATACTTGGCCAATAAGCATATGAAAAAATGCTCAATGTCACTAATCATCAGAGAAATGCAAATTTTAACCACAGTGAGGCATCACCTCACACCTGTCACAATGGCCATCATCAATAAAACAAACAAGTGCTGGTTAGGATGTGAAAAAAGGGGGATCCTGCTGTGGCAATGCAGACTGGTGTAGCCACTGAAGAAAACGGCATGGAACTTCCTCAAAAAATTAGAAATAGAACTGTCTTTGACTCAGCAGTCCCACTCCTGGCAACATATCCTAAGAACCCTGAAACACTGATCAGGAAGAACATATTCAACCCTATGATCAGAGCAGTGCTATTTATAATAGCCAAGGTCTGGAAACTGCCTAAGTGCCCATCTGTAAATGAATGGATGAAAAAGCTGTGGTACATTTACACAATGGAATTTTACATGACCTTAAAAAATAAGGAACTCTTACCCTTTACAACAGCATGGATTGATGCAGAGAATATTATGTCAAGTGAAATAAGCTAGTCAGAGAAGGATAAATACCACAAGATTTCACTCATGGATGAGATCTAATGAACAAAATAAAATGATGAATAAAATAAAATCAGGTATGGACACATGGAACAGACAGATACATCTCAGAGAAGAAGAGAGTGGGGGGAATGAAGAGATTAGCTAAAGAACATGTATGCACATATGAAAAATCCATGCACACAAACAACCATGTGGTGAAGGCTGGGAGGGGGAGAGGCAGGTGAGTGGAAGGGAGGGAAAGGGTGGGAAAATGGGATCATATGCCAGAGCGTCAACAATAAAAAAATTTAAAATAAGAAAAAAGAAAAAAATTTCCTCAAATAGAATGTTAGGTTCATCATAAGTTAACTCTGTACAGGAAAGCTTGTATAACTTCTCTACAAATAAAATTTAAAAATGAATAGAAATACTATCAGACACCATAACAGTTCATTTTTAACAACATAGGAGTTATGTAAGATTATACGAGAAGAGAATTTCTGGTGAATTCAGCAACTACAGGGCATGTGTATTGCAGAAAATGCAGAAGTCTTTCATGATGTTAAGCAAGTATGGTTCTTAACAAAACTTAATAACAAGTGCCAAGAGCAGCAATGCACAGAAACTTTTATACATACTTATGAACTATAATTTATTTGTTTGAGGGGAAAAAGTAATGTCTAACACTTGTATTTCAACAAAATTTTTTCATTTCCTGTGGAAACGACAAAGCTGGCTCTAAAATAAAGACTGCACGGATGTGGTCAAATCACCAAACGAGGAGGTATTATCATTTTCCTTTGAACATAATTTGGAGGGGTTGCAGTAGATCTGTGAAGATGTAACTCATGAGCAGTGGTGCATTTGCAAGCACGAAGTGAATAGATTTCGGGTCCAGATTTGAAAGCAGACTCTAGAGCTTGGAAGTCCCTTTCCTCATCAAAAAAGTTAACACTTAAATGCTTGTCAGCTGATTGCAAGAGAGACTTTCCAATAACAGACAGAAGGCAGCAAAATTATTTTCAAGCATTAAGTCTTCTAAACTCCTGAGTTTCAATGAACATTTTTAATTACTTACTCAAAGAAAATTGATATAAAATTGGACTATTAGAGTTCAGAAATGTTTTGAAAAACATCATATTGTTCTTGGAAGAAAATAATGCTTAATGAGATAAATAATTATTAAATGCAGATGACACTATTGTGTGTTTTCTTCCAGTGCTGTTATAGGATCAACAATAGTTTTTTCTTTGTTTATTTAATACCAGTGATAAAAACAGTGAAAGTACTCTCCAAGACAGAATAAAAATACCAATTCATGTAGATTAATAAAAACATAAAAATATATAAGTTTTTAGGCAAAAGTCAGAATGATTGTTAAGGGTAGTGTTTGTTTTTTGAAACTGAGAGGGAGGGCAAAAAAAACCTTGAATGTCTTCAGTATAATCCTTTTCTTATACCAAACCAAACTTTTAGTTACTCATTCAGGGCTTAAATCTATGGATGGGAGGTTATCTG